CAATTTTCAGTGTCTTGTCATCTGCAAGATAGACAACACCAAAATTACGTACGGTATAGGATTCCATGATTCTCAAATCACTGCATGAGTGGAATGACTCTCCTGATTCCAAGATCCATGACTCCATTGGACTACTGACGCTCAGAATCAGCGCATCAAATATCTTTTTCGCTGCATTTGCCGAACCATGATCCTTCTTCGGCACCCTGCACTGCCGTTTCAAGTGTCCCTTGCAATTCCAACATATCACCTTACTTGCATCTTTCTTGTCCTTCTTCGGCTTCGAATTTTACCATTCTTGATCTTGACCCTTTCCTTTCGCCTCATATCTACCCCTATTTTGGAACTAAAGGCAGATCCAGATCCAAATTCAGTATTCTTACCCGAATTTCTCCGGACCTCTTCTCTCAAGATTAGATCTCTGACTGAATCAAACTCCATTTTCCTCTTCTCTGAAGAAGCCGCACTCAAGGCTGTTACTACCGAATCTCAACTATCTGGGAGTGGCAATAGCAGGATTATGGCTTTGATCTTTGAATCAAATTCAAGATTGACATACCACAATGGTGCAGCGATCAAGTTGAATTCATTCAGATGCACAGTAATAGGAATCCCTCCAACCATCCTCAAGTTAAATAGTTTTCGCATCAGGTAAACCTTGTTTGCAGTACATGATTGTTCGTAGATACCTAACATGATTTTTAAAATCTCTAGTGTCGATTATGTATGAACCGTGTGAAACAAGATGTTCTCCGAAAGGGTTAGTCGAATTGCACTCATCGCCTTCCTGTCGATCTTTTTGTATTCGGCTTCATGCATGTCTTCGGGTTTCTCGTTCAATGTTGCATCTAGATATTTACCATACAGGTAATCTTCTATCTGAATCTTCCAGAAACTAAAGTTCATTCCATCGAATACTTTGACAGCAGAACGATTACCCATCTTGACTCCCACAAACGACCCTAAGGCTCTAATACCACTTGTTATGAGAAAACTCAGGAAATCAAGAAAATACATACAAGGACACGAGAGCAAAAGAATTTGATTACTCAATTCGATCAAGATGATCTATGTCCGAAGGCAATGTCAAGCCAGAAATTTTACTATAAAATACGCATACACATATTAAAGTCAGAATATATAGGTATTTATAGTATAATCTTATGTCAATAATATTAAAATCATATGTTTAAATCTATGATATAATATCCAAATAATATCCCTAAATTTTTAATGATATAATCAAGATTCATATCCAATAATATTGATATAGTGACATTTAATAATATATTAATGATAGTTTTATAATAATATAATTATTTATTAAAATGAGATTATTGTTTTCACATAAATAAAAATGATAAAATCAGACCATTGAATTGAAAAGGAGTACTCTCTTTTTTTTTTTCTTTTTTTTTTCTTAATTTGCCAGTTCTTGCTTAGTAATTATTTGAAGATATATATACATATATGTCTGAGTTATGATTTTAATTTTACAAAGTTAAGGCAGATAAAATTATTATTTCTTTTATATAAAAATTATATTATTTGTAAATATACAAGTTTATTAAAATTTAGACAAAAATATATATACTAATAATATATTAATATAAGTTTTACCACAAATTTTATATTTAAAATAAAAAAAATAAAAATTATTTCAAATTATAAATATAATAAATTAATCAATATTTAACATAAATTAAATGTTTTCTTCGGAATAAAACGCACGATATAATCTTATACTCCCTTCGTTTCAATACAATAGTCTCATTTCCATAAATAATCCTATCATTATAAAACTACCCTTACTTTTTCATTATTATTACACAATTACTACTACTTTTTATACCAATACATTCACAAAGGCAAAAAAATTTTTTACCTGTACTTTTTACCCACTACTAATATAATATTAATATTCCTTAAATTCCGTGTCAAACACAACTTATACTATAGTTCTGGGATGGAGAGAGTTAAAGACTTTGGTAATATAGGACACGTGTCAAGTTCAAAGGATAATCCTATCTCTTGTATTCATATGTTTAAGCGCTGGGTTGTGTCCCAATTTTTGGCGTTGTTTTATTTTTATTTTTATTTTAATTTTTTTTTTAATTTTTAAATTATAAATTTGATTTTTAAATTTAATTTTTATTTTTAAAAATTTTAAAAAATTTTATTTTAAATTATAAAAATAAAAAATTGTTTAAAATAATAGAAAAAATTGAATATTTGAAGAATAATAGTGAAAAATGGAGTTATGATTGAATTAAAATTACTGTAGCAACTGCATATTTTGAGTTAAAACCGAATAAATAGAATAGATTAGTTGGAGATAGGGTAATGGCTCATTGTTTGCTGGCCTCTCCATCTGATTCAGGCACCTTTTTAACAAATTCGAAAAATATGACATATAAGTATTAAAAAAAAGAAAAACAAAAGCCTTCAACATGGCATGGTGCAAGAGAAGCTACTGTCCAAGGTACTTTTTTGTTCTTTTTTACTTCTTTCTCTTTTCTCTTCTGCTTTTTTTATTTATTTTTGTTTTCTCTCTCGTTCGCCCCTGTAAATTCTCTCTCTTTCTCTTTCTTATTATGTTTTTTCTTTCTCCTTCTTTCTCTTTTCCTCCTACCTTCTTGCATATGAAGCCATTGGATAGAAATATATCATTTCACTGGATGTCAATTTTCAGCATTTAGACACATCAGATTTAAAATTGATTTAGAAGCTTTCTTTCTACACTTTGAATGTAAAATTCTACGAGTTTGTGGTTCTTTTGGTGAGTTCATTTGTGAAGTTTTGATTTTGAGTTTTGGATTTGAATAGTAAAATTTTGAATTAAAATAATTATTTAATATGATTTAAACATGGCCGTCTCGGACTTTTAGAGGGCCCTGAGCAAAAACAATATGTAGACCCTATAAGTATGTAATTAAATAAATTTTCAAAATAATATAATCGATAATTTATTGTTAACATATTAGTCATTTCAGAATTTAAATAATTTCAAATTCTTGGATCAAAAATATTAAATATAACGTCAAAATCATTATCAAAATCAGTAATACAATCATCAATGTCAATATTTTCAATTTCATTATTATTAACATTATCAACATTTTCAACCTCTAACATCATCGCCAACATAATCATCAATAAAATTTTCATTATTTTCAATATTCAAATTATTTTCGATATTCAAATTATTTTCGACAATCAACTGTGGTTCTCTTATAATAAATTTATTAATTGCTCGACTCAGAGATTGAATTAGTTCATCAATTCTTTTTTTTCTTTTTACGTTTTTCACGACCCATACTTTTTTTTAGGCATAATTTATTCTATTATTTGTAAATTGTAAAAAATAAGGAGTAATAAAATCTGGATTGAAATCCTCTCCAACGGCGTTGGACAGAGCTCAGTTGGGCGTAGGCAGCCGAGTGTGTAACCTTTCCTACAATCCATAATCCAACAATTTATAAAAAAAATTGAATTGAAAAAATAATGAAAAAAGAAAAAGGCACGGTGTGAAGCCTGTCTGTCTGTATGAGAAAAGAAGAAGATGGAGGGAGATGTCTGTCTATGTCATTTAAACCAGGGAGAAAAAAAGAAGAAGAGAGAGGAAGATTGTCTGTCAGTCTGTCTATATCGCTGAACAAAGGAAAAAAAAAGAAGAAGGAGGAATTTAAAATTTAAAATTTAATTTTGAAATTTAATATATATAATATTAATATATTAATATTTTAAAATATAAACACTTTCTTAAAATTAGGTCCTGAGCAATCGCTTAGTGTGCTCCTATTAATAGTCGCCCCTATATTTAAATATATATTGATCTGATATTTTGAATATAAATTAAATTTTAATGTACTATAATTAATATAAAATAAGTGTTTGATTTGATGTTTTTCCAAAAATAAAAATTGAATTAATAAAAACAATACAAAAATTGCACAAGTAAACATGTAGGTCTTCTTGTTTGGAACCCGCCAAAATAGTTTGGTGGTGTTTAGACAGTTTTTGGATGAATGCTGGAATTATTGATTTCGGAAGTTCGGGTCGTTTACGTAGGAGTATTATATAAAATATAATTATATAAGTATATATAAATTTGTATAAACTATTTGGTAGATAAACTTAATTATCACTCTTATATTTGAATTTCACTATTTCAGTTGGTAGATAAACTTAATTATCACTTTTATATTTGAATTTCACTATTTCAGTATTGCCCGCGTGACTTTCTTAAAATATTAAATTCAGGGGTTGCTTCTATGGAATGACATGTGACAGAATATTAAGTTATATAAAACATGTAAATAATATTTTAAAGGAAATTGTGACATGTATATGAAATATTTTGCTAGAGTGTCCAATAATTGCAGGTCAATGCAACTAAGATAAAATATTTTGCACGCGCCTAATATATTTTGCGCGCATGAGAATTAAAAGACAACAGTGATGATCACTACAAGAAAGTAGCATTTTTGTAATGAAATTTTTTGTTTATAAATTCACTTTTTTCATTGTTAATGACATTAGAGATGAACTTATTTTAACTACATGGACTTTAATGACAAAAATCGATTACAAATATATATATATTTTTTATTTTGTAGAGAATGGAGTAATCGTACAAAATATTTTTTGTAATTTTCCATTGATATACTATCACAATTTTGAACAACAATAAAAAGTACAAAACAAAACTAGCATATATATATATATGTATATATGTTCATTATAAAGAGTCGGGGAAGAAGCTTCTCAACCATGTTCGAAAATTACTACGTGGAATGTCACAAACAAGGTCCACATAGACTGGTAGCTGGTAATGGAACCCAAAGTTGAATTTTTCTTTAATTTGCAACTCGATAGTGATAAGGTGAATTCCATTCCATTAAATGCCCATTCCACACGCAACCCTACTCGGACAGGCTTAATTCATATATATATATATATATATATTATCACTGCAACTCATGTGATCCATTTGGTGTCCCTATAAATAGAGCAACCAATGCTCCTTGATTCTCACCCCAATCATAACAACTGAATCTCAAACATATATTCATTTCCATTATCTGAATTACTTAGCAATGGCTACTTCCAAAGCAGTTGCTGTTCTTATCCTTTTCCTCGCAGCATTCCTTATGATTGCCTCCGAAGTGGCTGCCAGAGATCTGGCTGAGAACACTGACGCCACTCAACAAGGTAAGTGCTTTTTATTTTGCAGAATTCATGCCATGTCCTTTTTCTTTGTTTTGTTTTAATTTTTAGAAATAATTAATGTAATTGTCTGAAATATATTTGGTTTAATTTGTCTGAAGATGAAACTGCCCCGTGGGGTTATGGAGGTTGGAGACAAGGTGGTGGAACATATGGTTCCAGCTGCCCCTACTTCTGCGAAAATCGCTGCTGCTCTGCCACTGAGAAGGCTGAGTTCGACGCTCTGGCCAACCCCTGAAACTAGGGTTTAAGACCAAAGCAAAGCCAGAGAGGGCATACATTCATGCAATGAATTTATGCATAAGATTTAAAAAAGAAATAAATGAGACTTTCTCAATTTTCAGCTCATATATATATATATATATATATATACATGTATGTATGTTGTGGTTTTTCGACAACTTTCCTTTGCCATATACGGTGAATAAATAATAGTGTGCAAGAGATGATTTGTATGTTGTCACGATCAATCTATCTAGGCATGCACCGCCACTCTCATGTATGACTACCTCGTTACTGTTAAATTATACTGCTTTCAAACTTATTTGCATCTTTTTTTTTTATATTTTTGTTATCATATATGTGATGTGTTATGAAATAAATGCGGAATAAACTTGATTTTATTAAAGAAAAATCAACGTAAATAAAGAAAAGTTTGAACTAGGGCTTGGTTTTTAGGCTCAACCCCCAAAAACTCCCAAAGTACACAATATCGACACAAACACATGTAAATCGCGACAAACACATCGAAACCGGCCCGAGACCTTTAACCTACACAAAAAAACAACCCCCACATACGAAGAAGAAGACTTACGGCACAAAACAGTGGACAAAATAATATCACAGGTACAGACGAAACCACAACCGACAAATTGAACCCCTTGTAGTTCGTAGACGTGCAAACCGGGGGAGAAACAAGCTCAAGAGCAGAGACTTTCCAGAAGAGTTCCGCGGCCAAGAACAGTATCGCGGTGTAGAGTGAAGTGAGAGAGAAGAAGGTAGAGAGAGTTGAATGATATGAATGAGTGGGTGTATTAATCCCTACGGCTCCCTCCCAATCCATATAGATATATAATGGATCAAATCAAATCAATGGCCAGTAAGAAATCCTTTGATCGAACGGCATACGATGTGGGTCTAATAAACACACAGGTCCCGAGTGCCGGGTCGCAGGTGACGGGTCACGGGTTAGGGCCGGGTTCCAATTGGGCCACAAATTAAATCATGTATGTGTCTTGGCGTATGGATACAATATTGGTCTCAATACAAATCTCATTGACCAAAATTTCATAACAATCCTCCACCTAATTTTGGTTATGGGAGACAGGGGTCATCATTGCCTAATATTGGATTACATACCTGCACAAAGAAGAAGGTATATACAAGTTAGCAAAAATACATTAATTTAGCCTACTATCTACATACATGTAGAACACAACTAATCAAATGTATCAAAGCACATTACTTTCAAATAAGATAAAAAATTTCTAATTTTTCAAAACATTGTATCCACAACAGCAGGAATATCTTTAAATCCAATTATTGACAAACCTACTCTACATTGTAAATGTGTTAAACAACAAAAACATATAACACACAATATACAAACAAAAACAGTAGCAAGCTTCACAGGTTTCATATTACTCACAACCAATGATAACATAACACAAAGAAGCCAATACCAAAGCTTAGAAACTGATTTCAAGCACTTATTATCACCTAATGAGTTCGTATCTTCTTTTAACCCTAAACATTGAGACTTACTTTCGGGATTAAACAATTTTCTATCACTCATAGGTTTATCCACATCTAAGCTATCAAACATACCTCTAAGTAAAGAAGATGAATCAAAATTACCAAACATAGATAACACTTTAGGACTATTCCTAACTTCATCTCTAACAAATAGGTAATTTTCTAACTCATTACTATTATCAAAATCAGTTTCTTCATTATTTTTAACCTCAAAAACTGTATTTTCAATTTTATTCACAAACTGCCTTGGAGCAGATAAAATTCGAAAATCACCAAAAAAAAATATCAATTTCACTAGATCTTTCCTCATTATCTACCATACACTCTACATCAGAGATAAGAACATTTTCGTTCACAAAATCAGTGTATTGCTCAACAGCAGTTTTTATATACAACAAAGAATCAGAAACAATATCACCATCAACTTGAACATGACGATGCACAGAATGACAACAAAAAACAGAATTTTCAATTTCTTTCTCTCTAATGTCAATTTTATCAGTCTCTACCTCACTTTGAAACCATTATCACAAACAGAGGTAACTTCTCTCTCAAAATTGACAAACTCAATTTTAGCATCAATTTGCACATTATCAGCAGATTGAATATTAACTTCATGCAAACCAGAATTAATATAATCACAATTGAGAACACAGTCTTCTTCCTTCCCAATTTCTATATTCTTGTTTTGAACAACACAGAGATTATCAGCAGCATAATTAACAGTATCATCAATTTCAGCAACTTCTAAATCATCAAATTGCGCCAATTTAGATTCACAATTTTTACACTGCTTAAGAGTACAATCAAAACGAGACACTGGTTTCAAATATTCATTCTCTTTTATATTCTGAATTATCATTTTTGAAAACAGGTAAAATTTTAGCAACTCTAGAAACATTTTCAGAACTCATATCAGCAATTTTGACATTGCATAGTTTTGGGTTCACAAACAGCACGTTGTTTACCACTCATATCAAAACGAAAAACAGACAGTTCAGAATTATTTTCTGCCTCTTCCACATCAATCACATTATGCTCCACCTTATTTGAAACACCATTAAAATTTGCACAATTTTTTAAACATTTCAGAATCAAGCAACATTGATTTTTCATTTAAACATGGCATGTAACCTTCATTAAATGTCACATTATTACTAATAATGGTTTTAAAACCAGGTCTAGAACTAAGCCATAACCTATAACATCTATCACCATAACCCAAGAAAACACAATTTTCAATTTTCTTATATAAACCATCAGTGCAAATATGTATTTCAGCAGAACACCCAAACACACGAACATTAGACATGTCGACTATTCTATCCAACCACTTATTTTCCGGACATTCACCTTTAAGGGGGATAGATAGTAATCTATTTAAAAGATAGGTTGCTGTCACAGCAGCTTCACCCCAAAATTTTCCAGGTAAACCAGAAGATGTCAAAAGACATTCAACTCTTTCTAAAAGAGTCCGATTTAACCTCTCAGCAACCCCGCTAAATTGGGATGCCTTTGGGACACATTAAAAATTAATACAATTTTGCACACAGAAATTATTAAACCAGGTATTACAAAAATTTAAACCATTATCAATTATAATACATTTAATTTTTCTGTCAATTTCACTTTCAATTTGAATTTTCCAATTCTTGAAAATTTTATACAAATCAGGTTTATTTTTCAATAAGAAAATCCAAATTTTCCTTGAAAAAACGTCAACTATAGTTAAGAAATATCTACTCCCACCATAAGTAGGTTCACTAGAAGGATCACAAATATCTACATGTATACATTCTAAAATTGGTTTCGAAAAAATATGATTTTCAGGGATTTTTAATGAAAATTGAATTTTATTTAATTTTCCAGGGGAACATGTATTACAAAAATGAACAACAGAAAATTTATTATTTTCCAGATAACCAGATTCATGCAGAATTTTAAGACCTCCATTACTAAGGTGGTCTAACCTTTTATGCCATAATTTAGTATTATTTATTTCAGAATTATCAATTCCAGAACATGCAATTAGAGGAATAGCAGAAGTAACATACAGATCATTTTGTAGTTCTGCGCTAAAAATAACCAAGGCCCCTTTTGTTATTTTCATTCAATTTAAACCTTATTTTTCTTCTAGACCTAGAGTAGATAATCTAACACATGACATCAAGTTGTTTGACAAACCAGACACATATCTCACATCATGCAGTTTTATCGCATTAGCAAATTTAAATTTCAAATTGACAACACTAATTTCCTCAACTTTGCACACACTTTATCAGCCATAGTAACATAACAGTGTGTTAAAGTTTTGAATTTAGAAAAAATATTTTTCAAATGTGTCATATGAAATGTACATGCTGAATCAACAATCCATTCATTTGCACACAAAAATTTTGAAATTAAATATGTCCTAACTGCAAATACATCCCCTAAATTTCGATTCATATCAGATAAATTGGCCAACTCACATGTTTGTGCACTTTTATTACTATTCCTGTTATTATCTTCAGCCATGAATATCAAATTTCCAAAACAATTTACTCAAAAAATGGTTTTGAAAAACACAGATTGTTTACCAAAAATAGTTTGTTTTAAAAAATCACAAGACACAAACTTCTATCCGCACAAAATACAAAAGGCAATCAAACACAGTAACCACAGAATATTGCAATCACAGGCCCCCCAAAAAAAACAAAATATAGCCTATCTATTATAACATGCATTCAAGACTATTCCACCGAAGGTACTCAGTATCACTCACAAGAGTGAGGATCGGAGTTTTGCAACCTTGGTATCCCAATAGTCTTTACAATCGATTTGTGCGGAATTTAACAGAGTAACAGAAATAGTAGTAACAAAAGTTAAGGTTTTAGATTTTACCCTTGAAGCACTGCAACAGTATTTTTCCTACAGTATACAAGAGAAAATATACACAAGCCTATACTCTTTCGAGAATAAGGGTTAGCCAATATATAACAACAGTTATCTATAACAAAGACACTGTTTCTCTTCTAACTAATGTTAGAATCATAGAAATGCAAGTTTAGGGGATATCTAGCACGATACGAACAGAGAAAGATATATACCACATAAATTTTCAGAATAAACCGATTTATATACAAACAGTTTGGTTTTTTTTAAAAAAAAAATAACCAAAACAAATATTACATTTTAACAAATTTTTAACCAAACACAAAACAATTTTCAAATCGGTTTTCAAGATATTCAAAGATTTACTCAAAACAGAGACAGATTTTAAGTCTCTTAAAGACTTTAACAAGATATAGATGACGGTTTTATAGATCTAAAAGAATTTTACAAGATCCAAACCAGTTTTAACAAAACACTTACGATTTTGAACAAGCTTTTAGATTCAAAACCAAACAAACACAGATCGTAACTAATAATGAGGCGAGCAAAAAGATATAGGGTTTATTTTTTCAAAAAACAACCGAGACTCACTCAAACTCCACCGATCTACACAATACAGTAGCGGTTTTGTTCGAAGAACACATAAAACAACTCGACCGTGACTAAAAAACACAAATCGAGTTCAAACAGGGCCGATTTTGAAACAAATCTAAAGGAAAAGAACCGAACGCACTAAAACAGGTTCGATTCAACCAAATCCTTTCGATTTCACACAAATCTATCAAAGAATGATTACAACTTTACAAAATCAACATTAAATCACGATTTCGTAAATAAAAAAATCAACCGAAGCTCTGATACCACTTGTTATGAAATAAATGCGGAATAAACTTGATTTTATTAAAGAAAAATCAACGTAAACAAAGAAAATTTTGAACTAGGGCTTGGTTTTTAGGCTCAACCCCCAAAAACTCCCAAAGTACACAATATCGACACAAACACATGTAAATCGCGACAAACACAAGGAAACCGGCCCGAGACCCTTAACCTACACCAAAAACAACCCCCACATACGAAGAAGAAGGCTTACGGCACAAAACAGTGGACAAAATAACACCACGGGTACAGACGAAGCCACAACCGACGAATCGAACCCCTTGCAGTTCGTAGACATCCTCAAACCGGGGGAGAAACAAGCTCAAGAGCAGAGACTTTCCAGAAGAGTTCCGCGGCCAAGAACAGTATCACGATGTAGAGAGAAGCGAGAGAGAAGAAGGTAGAGAGAGAGAGTTGAATGATATGAATGAGTGAGTGTATTAATCCCTACGGCTCCCTCCCAATCCATATAGATATATAATGGATTAAATCAAATCAACGTCCAGTAAGAAATCCTTTGATCGAACGGCATACGATGTGGGTCTAATAAACACGCGGGTCGCGAGTGCCAGGTCGCAGGTGACGGGTCACGGGTTAGGGCCGGGTTCCAATTGGGCCACAAATTAAATCATGTATGTGTCTTGGTGTATGGATACAATATTGGTCTCAATACAAATCTCATTGACCAAAATTTCATAACAAGATGGTTGTTAATCATTTTACTATAAAATTAGTTATTAACATTACATGATATAAGAGCTGACAACATATATAAAGATGAGTAGTATATCATATCATTACCAGAAAAAGAAGCATTTGGTGCCGAAGAAATTACCGTGCAAAAGCCGCAACATTTTTGCTCAGCTAGCGCGGTCTTAGTCGCGACTCTAGTCCGCGGCCGAATCATGGTACCAATATTTTAATTTCGGCTAGCAGTAACAAAAATAAAGTTGAGCTTCCGAAGATGGCACCGCAATTGAGTTGAGGGAAAAAAATCTTGGCACTTAAAGTAGCGCCAAAAAATAATTAAAAATAACAAAATTAAAATAAATAATAAACTGTGTTGGCGTCGAAAACTGCGCCAAAAACCAAAATAAAAATAAAAAGTATAATGTTGGAAAATCGGTTAATTATTTAATCGATGGAATTTAATTTTAAAATAAAATTCATAATTTCTGGAACCGATTATTCGATTAGTTAAAATGCATGTGGGTTGTACGGTGGTTATTGATAATGTGATTAGGCCGGTAAGCCACAGGCGCGTATGCCACATGTCCGGACCACATAATTACATGGATATATGATAAATAATTATTTGAAATTTAAAATTCAAATGATATATTTATGACCGGAATTAAATTTGATGTTTATAACCGGAATTAAATATGATGTTTATTATCGGACGTTACCGAAATTATGGTCGAAGATTATAAGCCATTAAATGCCGACGGTTTCGGCTCGACATTAAAATTCAAGGGTGGAGGTGCCTATAAAAGGCCCCCTTCACGCCCATTTCATAATACACCACACCAAGACAGAAGTTTGTTTTATCCCTCTCTTCCTCTCTAAGTTTCCAGCAATATTCCCAGTAAGTTTCCGGTCAATATTCTGGTCACTGACACTTGTACTCAAGCCTCCCGATATAGCTCAAATTTCCTTCATTTTAGTTCGCCAGAGCTCCTGAAATATTGGGGTGCCATCTAATTCAGAAACGAACGTCGTTTAATCTTTAGGAACGTTACGCCACGACCCGTGGGCACTATCGGGGTGTATTCATTTTTACGGAAAGATGTTCTATCTCGATTCGACGTGATTATCGAGTTTATTTCAATAAATCATTGTGATTATCGAATTTATTTCGATAAATTATTTTGATATCGACTTTTATTTTTCGATAATTATTTGATATTCTCGCGATATAAAATTTTTCCAACAATCGTAAAAACGAATATATTTTGATATATTGCAAGAATATCGTCACTCCATTAAATTGCCACCATCATGGATGTTGCCGGAAATTCGAGTGTAGGCACATCCGGTGTCGACATTTCTACTGTGTCGACAGATGCTGATTGAATGGAACAAAATGTTGTTTCGAGTGTGCTGATTTATGACATTGTAGATTGGGTAATACTACTTTAAATGCTATATAAAAAAAAATTAATAAATTTTAATTTACTAAATACTAACACTCAAATTAATTGAAAAGTTTGGGTGGACACAAAAATAGCTAATACTGTAAAAAAAATAAAAAAAATAAAAAATAAATAAGAAGAAAAAAAAAAGGAAAAAGTGAAGTTATTGGATTTAATTCACACTGATATGTGTGATTATTTTAAAATATGTGCAAATTTGAGATGTAAATATATATATATATATATATTAACTACCTTAATAAATGATTGCACAAGATATTGCTACCTCTACCTGTTATGGGGAAAGAAATAAGCAATAATGCCTTAAAAAAAAATAATAAGACAGATAATCAGTTGAGTTGTAATTTCAAGGTAGCTCGAAATGATTAAAGAGAAAAATGTGTAGGTTTGTATGAAAAATTATGTAGTATAATTCATCCGACTACGACATCATACTCACCATAATCAAATGGAATTACGGAATGCATGAATGTCTTGTTGATTTATTCAGAATTACCCAAAAATTGTGGGGCAGTTCTAACTGCAAATTATATTTTGAATAAAATTTCACTCAAAGGTAAGGATAAATTTCCTCATAAATTGTGGAAAGATAAGAAATCTTCATACAAATAAGTGTGAGGTATAAGTACCATCCCAAAAAAAAAAAAAAAAAAAAATTGCGGAGAATGCGGTAGATTGTGTAAAGCTAGTAAGAGTCTTGAGGTATTTGAAGTATACTCTCGACTTTTGACATACACTACACGAGATATCCTTCAGTACTTGAAGGGTACTGTGATGCTAACGGGATATCTAAAACGAAATATTCATTGTCTACAAGCGGATATGTCTTTATGACCAGAGGTGAAGCAATTTCGTAAAAGTCCACGAAATAAACTTGTAAATGTCGATCCATTTTGGAAAAATAAAATTAAAAAAAAATAAAAAAATAAATCTAGTACCTCCGGTAATGATATATTGTGATAGCCAAAATGCAAAAACAAAGGCTAAGAATGGAATTTACAATGGTAAATTTCGACATATCCGATACATACATAACACTGTGTGACAATTGATCACTAATGAGGTTATGAATATTGACTATATGTTAATGTAAAACCTTGTGGATCCGCTAACCAATGGTTATATTGATCAAATGTATAAATTGTTAAAGAGAATGGATCTGAAATCCACGAATTAAGAGACAATTACAGTGGTAATCCAATCAAATCACTTGGAGATCCCAAACATTGATTCAATGGGATAACTAAGTTGTAATAGTTCAGCGCGAACACTCGACTACCATTCCCTAAAAAACTAGGAGTTTTACAAAGTGCAAAGTGGTGAGGTTGAGTCACTAACTCTTAGGGTGTGTTTGTTTGGAGGTTTGGATTTTGAGCTGAGATTTGAATAATAAAAATTTTGAATTGTAATAGTAGTATGACGTGCTATAAATAGGTTTGATGTGATGTTTTGAATGAAAAATTAATTTATAGTATAATATAAAATATAAAAAATAGGTGTTTGATTTGATATTTTTTTGGAGGAAAAATTTTAATGAATAGTAAGATTTTGCAAAATTCTTACAAACGAACACACCCTTAATAGTCCTAAATAATATAGTTGAAAGCTTTAAAACATGATTACCTATATAAGTGTGAAGTGAGGACCGCTTCAAATAAAACACTTATTAATCTAAAGAGTAATCCATGGCCGAAACGGATCAAAACGTGAGAACAAAATGAGGTTGAGATAGCGGCATGTTAATATTATTGACTAAAATTTACACAAATGTGGAATAGTTCAATGCATCGTGTCAACTAGGCCACTGGTACATACAATAATATTGGCTAAGAAAGGTTCAAAGCAACAAGCTACCTATCCTGACGTGTCGGTATCTCTGGAACTGAGTTGTGTGTTGTCCTATTAATGGACATTTTCACTCATGCGAGGGATTGTTGAAAAATCGGTTAATTTTTTAATCGATGGAATTTAATTTTAAATTAAATTCATAATTTCCGTAACCGATTATTCGATGAGTTAAAATACATGTGGGTTGTATGGTAGTTATTGATAGTGTGGTTAGACATATAAATGCCGGTAAGCCACAGGCACGTGCCACCTGTCTGGATCAGATAATTACATGTATATATGATAAATAATTATTTAAAATTTAAAATTCAAATAATATATTTATGAAAGGACTTAAATTTGGTGTTTATGATCAGAATTATATTGATGTTTATGACCGGAATTAAGTATGGTGTTTATTGTCGGACGTTACCGAAATTATAGCCGACGATTACAAGCCATTAAACGCCGACAGTTTCGGTTCGACATTAAAATTCCAAGGGTGAAGGTGCCTATAAAAAGCCCCGCTCACACCCATTTCATAATACACCACACCATGAGAGAAGTCTATTCTATCCCTCTCTTCCTCTCTAAGTTTCTAGCAATATTTCCGGCAAGTTTCCGGTCAATATTCCGGTCACTTACATTTCTACTCAAACCTTCCGTTATAGCTGAAATTTCTTTCATTTTAGTTCGCCGGAGCTTCGAAATATTGTCGTGCCACCTAATTCGAAGACGAACGTCGTTTTATTTTTGGGAACGTTATGCCATGAACCGGAGGCACTACCGGATTCGTTTTTACAGAAAAAAATTCTACCTCGACTCGACGTGATTATCGATAAATTATTTTGATATCAAATTTTATTTTTCGATAACTATTTGATATTCTTGCAGATATAAAAAATTTTCTCATATAATATGTTGGCACCAACAATGGCGCCTAAAAGCTAATATAAAAGTAAATAATAAGTGTGTCGGCGCCACTTTCGACGCCACACATAAGAAATTAAATATATTTTTAAATTTGTGGCGTTAACTTTCGCGCCAAAAATATTATTATATTTAATTTTTTTTATATTTTGATATTACTTAATACACAATAATAATAATAATAATAATAATAATAGTAATAATAATAGTATTAATATGTAAAATTGTTTAATTTAGATTGTGAAATGACAAAATCCCCCACTCCAAAACTAAAAACACATTTCACCTGCCGCACAGGGTTCGCCTAGTGTGTCTTGCTTTTAGGGCCTAGTTTCCAGAGTATTAGGTTCGACCGAAAGTTTATCCGGTGTGCACTTTCGAGTAACGATCGCAGGTTCCCACATCATCAAAATATATAAATAAATAAATAAGAAAAATAAAAAATAAAAAGACAGATCTATTAACACACCATCACAAGAAAATCAACAAATAAATAAGAACGCAGCCATAAATATTTTTGCTTTTAAAATATCTCAATATAATCACAAAATCTCCTTAATTTAGGCTAGTCACTAAAAGAACCCGTCAATATTCAAAATTGTAATGTAGAATTCACATAAATAGACAAAAATTAGCCAATAATACATGTAAAATAACTATATTCCAACAATAACTACAAAGATAAAATCAAATTCATTTAGGTGGTAAATCTTTGAAACCACAACAGTTCTTGCAATATTGCACTTTATAGTAAAAACCGATTATTCTAGAGAGTTTATATTGGAAAGGAAAAGAAAAAAAACAGACAAGCTTCGTACCAGGCAAAATGTTTCCATTTCTATCAACAAGTTACCTGAACATAAAACAATAACAAATAAATAATCAAGAGAACTTGCATTTGATAAGAAAGAATACCAATAGTTGAGTCAAATCTTTATTTTCATAGGGCATATATAGCACATATATCCAACAAAATAAAAAATTTTGTTATTCTATAAACACTCATGGAATGCTTATCATAAAGGCAAAAATAAATTTTGGTTCCCATAAGCGATGACCTGGTGGCGTAGGGAGTGAACTTGTGGCCGTGAGGTCATGTATTCAAACCCGACGTCTCCAGGTCCAACTATCACACATGGTTCATCTGACTTGCCTTGTCGGCCTTAATTTGCAGGGTATTAGGCTCGACCGTGAGATTACCCAGTCGGCCCTAACAAGGAATCAGACAATATGAATATATAAAAATATATGTTCAAGAGATCAATGCAAACATTTATATCACCCCTTAAGTTGATGCCTTCATGTGCAATTTTATGGATGCCTCCCATAAGCATGAGGTGCAATGCTATCAACAAGCTTATTGAAGAAGTCAGGTGTGTACTTCATCTGATGGCTTTCATCCGAATCTTGTGGCTGCAGGCAACATGGAAGAAGTATGAATTTTCAATATATACTATTGATCAACATGACTTTATATGAAAAGCATAGTGTGCTCAGCATAACAAAATTCTCCATCTTTAAAGTTCTATTGTGTTACAATACCATATCCGTCTCAAAAATATAGAACAGGGGGAATTCAAAAGATTTTATAATGAACTATATTTTAATGGAATTGTTTGGAAAGTGAATTAAAAAGATGGAGAAATAGCTAAGATCAGAACAACTATCATGTTCATCATCTCCCCTGTTACAAATATCAGCAACCCTTCTCCCATCACAAATATTTGAAGAGACAAGAAAACACCATATTACTAGAGGATTCCCGGCGACATTTGCCTCTTTCCTCAGGAGAGACCAATGCTAGAATATCAGGCAAAGAAACAAGAGTGTCAATAAACACAACCCTGCAACATGTGAATTTACAAAATTGTGAACAATTGCTGCAATAAAGCTGGAAATGTCTAAGATTCTTAATTAGATTTGCACAGAAAAAGTCACGGTCGCCTGCCTTGGCTTGCTCAACAATATCACGGAGAAGGATGACATCAAGCGATCTCGGTAGCGAACGTGGAGGTATTTCCTTTGATGTCTCTTGCATATGGACCCTCTGCCAATCTGTTAATTTGCTATCTTGTCTCAGCAAAGCCCACTTTGTTCTGTTTGGGCACGTTGCATTCATGCAAATAATTGGCTATAATATCAGAACAGAACGCCATAATATAAATTAATTTTACAGGATCAAGACTACCTTTCTAGAACTGATATATGAACTAGCAGCAATAATTCTCATACACAGGAACATTATCAATGCAATTGGACAAATTCAAAGTAGCTAGAGGCGAGTGGAGTTTAGTTTTCCGTGAAGGAGACAAGAAAATTCAAACAAACCTCAGTGTATTTGAACGGCTGTTCAACGTCTTTTATGAAGTTTCCACATTCTAATCACTTGAATGTGCCGAGAAGAAGCTCCGGGCGAACCTCACTGGTGCGTGTGCCCATCCACACCGCTAACCCACACTAACTTTCCGATCTCCGTCCTCTTAATCAAGGGGAAGTTGTAGAACGAGATATTGATATCTTTGTTCGGACTGTTATCAGTGATGAAAGCAAGCTTGAACTCCACCACAAACCTTTTGCAAGCGTTCTTCAGGTAAGACTCGATCGATTAAATTCTTCCGAAATGGCCTTCAGATTCAAAAGCAAAAATTATCATGGCACAATTTTAGTGTCTACAGAATACAGAAATTTCAAACAAAATGCAGTCGAAGACACAAATCAACAAAAAACACAAACTATCATCACACAATTTTTGTCTACAGAAAAAAGAAATTTCAAACAAAAAATGAATTAAAAAACACAAAACAGGCTTCGGAAACAAAAATGAAATAATAAAACATCAATTCTCCCACCAGACATACTCTCTCTCTCTTCAAAGGCAACGCAGCGCAACGCTGCCTTCCCTTTCTTATGCTTCGGAGGAACCGCAACCGCGACGCCGCTGCCTTCCTCCTGCTCAGCATCCCCTTCTACGACCTCCGCCAAAGCAGCGAACACAACCGATTTTGGCGAGCGGCCGTTCCCCGATGACCGAGGAAGAAATGGATTAAGCGAGACAGGTTTAGCGCAAAAGAAGACAACAGGATTCTCTCTGATAAACTTCCTTCAGGGTTTGTTTGGTTCCAATGAGGAGAGACGTGGGAGAGATTTTAATGAAAAAATGGGGAGGCGGAGAATATAAAATTGTAATATTGTGATTGGTTCACAGGATAAACTCTCTTAAACCATCTCCAACCCACTACATAGGTTGTACCAAAAATGGGGAGAAGGGGCTCCAATCCACCCTCAAATCATTCTATTTTTGCAAGTTTTTGTGGCGTTTTTATATTTTTGGTATTTTTTTTAGTGTATTGTGTAATTTTTATGTTTTAGTATATGATATATAATTTTATATTTTTAAAAATTGTATGTAATTTTATTTTTTTTAAAAAATAATGTATAATTTTATTTTCTAAAAGTATATAATTTTATTATATAATGATTTAATAGAGCATATATGGGAGCAATATAGTAACTCCATTGAATAAATATGTCGTATTTTATTTGAACTATTTTGTAATGTATGTTTTTGTAATAAATTGTTATGAAATAATAATATTACGTTATCTTTGTTTAATTATTATGATCATATTTGTCTTGATAACATTTAATTATTTATTTAAAATTATTTATTTGTAATAGTTATTAATTATAAATGTTAATTTTTATATATGTAATTTTTAAATAATTTATAAATTATATGTGTATGGATCTAATGTAAAAATAAATTAAAGTTGGGGTTAATTTATAAATATGAAAAATTATATAAAATAATATAAAAGAAAAATATAAAGAGAATATACTTTTTAAAGTAAAAATTGAAGTTAATGGTTGGAGTAAAATTACTGTAGATCAACTTATTTTTACCGTAGCAACTGCAAAAATAAAGTGAAGGGTTGGAGATAGCTTTAGGAGATGAGGCTAAAGGAAAATAGTTTTTTTTTTTTTTTATTTGATTAAGTAAGATGGGAGAAGAAAGGGGATATTATGCTTGTATTAAAATTATTTTTAAAAAATAATAAATTGTTTGTTTTAAAAGCAAATATACTTTTTGTTCCAAATAATTTATAATCTCTCTTTTTGGTATATTCCACATATTATGGAAAATTTTTAAAATAAAAAATAATTAATTATTTTAATTTTTATTTCATACTTTATCTCATGACATCACCCTATAATATATTTATTTTTTTTATCACATTATTTAATTTTTAAATTATATTACTTAATATTATTTATCTAAAAATTTATTTTCAAAGCAAACGTTGCACATTGTTTGAAACGAAAAGGAGTACTATTCATTCAAAACTAAATTCCTATTTTAAAATTATTTATTAACTTATTATTATTATTATTATTATTATTATTATAATAGATATAATTATAGACTAACTAATATGATTTATTAAAAAATATTATCATTAAATTTTATTATAATATTTAATTAAAAATATTTTAAAATATATAATATAATTTAAATCTATGTACAATATATATGTTAATATTTATTTGACATAATTAAAAATAAAATAAATAAATAATAAAATTTTATATATTATCAAATTTTTAATAAAATATTTAAAATATATAATAAGTAATAAAATAAAATAAAAAATAATAAAATTCTTTCCCTCTAAATTCCTCGGAATTGGAGGAAAAAAAATTTTAAAAAATTGTATCCCGTCCCCTCCCTCCTCCTCTACTCCTCTCAAAAAACAATTGAACCAAATATGAAAAAATTTAAAATTGTCACTCTTTTCTTTCCCTCTCCTTCTAAGCCGTGGAACCAAGCAGACCTTGGACCTTGAAAGGAAATTCAGAAAGGAGGATGAAGGTGAAGATTTAGTAAGAGACGCCACCGCCTCATCTTTTTACATTTAAAGAATAATTTTATAATATAGGCTTTTTAATTTTAAAAAATAATTTTATAGTAATAATAATGGTGCTAATACCCGCACTTCAGTTTTCTTTATAAAAAATATAAATTATAATATTGGCTCTAATATTGCCGTCTCTTATTTGAACCATTCCTTTTTTTATTTTAAAATAAATTTTTAAAGAATAATTTTATTATAAAGTTACGAAAAACTGCATCTTCTTTAATTTTAAAAAATAATTTTATAATAATGATATAAATAGTCGCGCCTCATTTTTTAAGAAAATCAAAATAATTTTATAATATTGACATAAAAAATCGCACTTTTTATTTTATTTTTAATTAAAGGTGTGAACAACAAACTATCACTCCTTTTTTATTATAAAATTATTAAAAAAGGAGCCGAAAACAAAGATTTTATGTTTTATATTATAAATAAAACAGCGTCTATATAAAATAAATATTTTTTTATAAAAATAATAAACACGATTTTTTGTGTCAATTTTTTTATATATATTTTGGTGCGAAAGTCGGTTATTAATAATTTTTGCACCACGCTGTGCCACCTTATTTGCACTAAATGTAGCTTTTTCTGGTAGTGTATATATGTTAATATAACTATAATTATATATCTTAGAAATTTTGGAGGAAAATGATAAAATTATCTTATTAATTATCAAATTAAGGGGCCTATATATAGACAATACAATACAAACTCGATAGACTCAATCTAATTAGTATATTCAATAGATAAAACCAAATCTAAATATAAATTTATTAAATTTAAAATTGAATATTTGAAATATCTCAACATCCCCCTTCAAACTCAAGTGGGTGCTGTAGAAACCAACTTCAGTTTGTCCAAGAGCAATCGGAAATGGCTGGGAAGAAGAGAATTGGTGAAGATATTTATTGTCTGATCTCCTGAGGAGACCGAAATGAGATGGACAGCACCACCGATGATATATTGTCGAATGAAGTGACAATCAAGTTCAATATGCTTGGTGCGCTCGTGAAAGATATCATTATGGACCATCTTCATATCACTCTAACTGTTATAGTGAAGAGCAATAGAAGATGAATGAGGAACACCAAGATCAGTGAGTTTTCGACGAAGTCATAAAACTTCTGACGTAGAGTCAACAAGGGCCCAATACTCCGACTCAGTACTCGATCAAAAAACTAAAGTCTATTTCTTGTTGTGGCAAGACACGAGAGAATCACCTAGGAAAAAACAGAAACCAATGGTCGAACGATGATTAGTAGGATCACCAGCCCAATCAGCATTAGAATAACTGTTGAGAGTCAAAGACGAGTGAGAGGAAAAGTGTAAACCATGTATGAGAGTACCTTTCACATAACGAATAATATGTAAGATAGTAAAGTGGTGAGAGGTCCTCGGAGTGACCATGAACTGACTCACAATATGAACTGCATGAGCGATATCTGGTCGAGTGACAGTCAAGTAGATCAAGCTCCCAATAAGTTGATGATAGAGGGTAGGGTCATCAAGAAGAGAGCCATTATGATAATTAAGTCCAACGTCGTAGACAGGTGGTGTAAAAGCTACCTGACTGTTTGCGAGACCAGCTCTAGGAAGGATATCGGAGGCATTTAGCCTGAGAGTGAAAGAGACCATAGGGAGAATCAGAGACTTCAAGCCCCAAGAAGTAAGGAAGAGGACCCAAGTTCTTCATCTCAAACTGCTTGCTAAGATATGTCTGTAGATTAGAAATACCAGTCGCATATCATATCATTAATATAAAGCAAGAGTATAACTATCCTAGATGAAGAACGACGAAGAAACATGCCAGAGTCGTAAGCGCATGTAGTAAAACCAAACTCCAATAGTGCAGCACTAAATGTGGCATACCAAGCCCGAATGGCCTGCTTCAACCCATATAAAGCGCGACATAAGCGACAAATCTTTCTAGAGGACGAGAAACCTGGAGAGGGAGTCATATAAACTTCTTCAGAAAGTGAGCTATGTAAGAATGCATTCTTGACATCTAATTGAAGAAGTGACCACTGATGAGCAGCATCAACGGCAAAAAAACAATGACTAGTAGTGAGACGAGCAACGGGAGCAAAAGTCTCCTCATAGTCAACTCCATGATCCTGTTAATAACCTTTGGCCATCAGACGAGCCTTCTAGTGCTCAATGGAATCATCAGAATTAGTCTTAATTTTGAAAACCCACTTGCACCCCAATAGGTGTCTTGCAAGAAGGCAAATCCACTATGGGTGCGTTTGACAATTAGCTGATAGCTTTTAGCTGTTAGCTGATTCAATTAGCTGTTAGCTGTTAGCTGATTCAATTAGCGGTTTATATTAAAGTGTTTAGTAAAACAACTGTTTGACATTACCTGTTTATACATAAAATGACTATTAAGGACATTAATAAGTTATTTTTTAAAATATTTAATTTTGTTTATTTTGGTTTGAAATTTATGAGAATTTTGGTTATTAATTATTGAAAATTATAAAAATATTATAAAATATTTATTTTTATTTTTATTATTTAGATTCGAAAAAATTATTTTTACTAAAAAATAATAATTTTTTATTAAAATTATGTAAAATATAAAATAATAAATATTTCGTATATATATTTTTATTATGTTAATTATTATTTTAATATATATAAATTAATAACCTTTATTTTTTATTTGATTTAGTTTTTAATTATATATTTTACAAATAAAATAATTTATATCTAATTAATAATAGTAATTATTTTAAATTTACAAAAAAAATAAAAATAAAATTTAATAAATTAAATATATTAAAAATAATTAATAAATACTATTATAAAAATATATTTATATATAAAAAATAATAATTAAATTTTAAGGGTAAATAAGGAATAACCAAAATTAAAATGAAAAAGCTCTTTCAAAACGCTGGGTAGATGAGCTTTTCATAAATTAGCTTTTTGGGTCCAGAAAGCTCTTTCAAAAAGTTAATTTACCAAACACCTAAATTAGCGTTTTGACTTGTCAAACAGCTAAAAGTTGTTCAATAAGCTAAAAGCTCTTCAAAACACTGTTTCCCAAACACCCCCTAAATCCCAAGTGTGAGTTTTTTTCAAAGCCTCAAATTCCTCAGTCATAGCTTGCTGCCATAATGGATCAGCACTCGCCTCACGAAATGACATAGGCTCATGATGAGATAATATAGCTGAATAACAATGATAATCACGTAAGTGAGGAGTAGGGTGGCTCATTTTATGTGATCGACCAGGTATGACAGGTCCAGGGACCGTAG